TGAATTGTCATAATTGTGTGATTCCAATATTTTGATGCAGCATATGCTTATTTTTCCAAAAGGCTTCTGGTCAATTGGGCCAGTTCCAGTGGATTGAAGTTTTGTTTTTTGACTGAAAGGAATGGACTTGAGCAATCACTTAGCATTCACTGGGCACCTGCTCTGTGCCAGCACCTATTGTGAAGATGCTGAGGGACAAGGAGGGAGGTGGCAGTCAAACACAGGAACAGCAGGTGGTTGAGGGGTGTCTAGTATGTTGGGAAGGACAGCTGTGGTTTGAAACTAGAGCCTGGGACATTCCCCCATTTTCCGTGCCCATTTATTGTGTTGTCATGAGTCGTTACTGTGCACTGTGCTAGGCACTGATGACAAGACAATTAAAGGACTTCCCCAAAGACACAGAATAAGTAAACAGCAGCTCACTGGCTCAAGATCCTCATTCATGAATGTTCCCAACTCACACAACACAGGTCTGAGCACCACAGGGTGATGTGTATCTTCAGCCTGACCACGAGATGGGCTGGGAGCCGATTTTCTTTAGGTGGCAATAAGCCACAGATGTCGTATCACCCCAGAAAGTGGAGTCCCACTGCTAGCTTTCCATTTCAGAGTCACCACCTCCAGGAAGCCTTCCCAACCCCTCTGCCCGTTCTAAGGCAAGACTCTACTCCTTTGATGCTTCCTATACAATCCCTTGTGTGTGTGTCCCCCCATAGTATCAGAGTATTCATGACCACCTGCAACCATTTTGACTCTACTTACCTTTTGCTTGTGTCCCTGTCCCCCATATCCCAGTGTGCCACTGTTTACTTATTCTGTGTCCTTGGGTAAGTCCCCACCATCTCTGAAACTCCAGATAAGGGCAACAAGGATAGCAATAACTAACACTGACATCACTGACTGCGTGCTCGACATTGTCCTGAGAAACTTACATGTTATTGATTTGTTTACTCTTCATAGCAGCCCTGTAGATACATACTGTCATTACCCGCTTTCTCACACATGAGGAAACTGAGGCACAGAGAAGGTGTTTTAGTCTGTTTTGCATTGCCATAAAGGGATACTTGAGACTAGATCTTTTACAAACAAAAGAGGTTTGATTGGCTCATGGCTGTGCAGGCTGTATCAGCATGGCCCCTGCATCTGCGCAGCTTTGATGAGGCCTCAGGAAGCTTTTACTCTTGGCAGAAGGTGAAGGGGGGAGCGGGCATGTCACATGGCAGGAGAAAGAATGAGAGAGAGAGGGGAAGAGGTGCCAGTCTCTTTAAACAACCCGTTCTTGCGTGAATGAATAGAGCGAAAACTTGCTCATTACCACAGGGAGGATCCCAAGCCACTACTGAAGGATCTGCCCCATGACCCAAACACTTTTGGCTTAGCCCCACCTGTAACAGTGGGTCACTTTTCAACATGAGATTTGGAGGGGATAAATATCCAAACTGTATCAGAGGGTAAGTAATGTACCCAGAGTCACACACAGGCAGTAAGTGGCAGAGCCAGTATGCAAATCCAAGCTGCCTGGCTCTTAACCACTGCACCACACTGCCTCCTGTGTGATAGGGACAGTAGTTCCCACCTCCAGGGCAGTTATGAAGCTTGAGTGAGACGCATGTTTATGGCGTCCACCCCAGGACCTGGCTGGCAATTCAACTCTTTTTTTTTTTTTTTTTTTTAAGATGAGGTCTCACTCTGTCACCCAGGCTAGAGTGCAGTGGCACAATCACAGCTCGCTTCAGCCTTGACCTCCTGGGCTCAAATGATCCTCCACCTTAGTCCCCGAAGTAGCTGGGACTTCAGGTACATGGCACCACACTCAGCGAATTTTTTTTTTTTTTTTTTGGAGAGATGGGATTTCACCATGTTGCCCAGAGTGGCCTCAAACTCCTGGGCTCAAGCAATCCTCCCATCTTGGCCTCCCAAAGTGCTGAGATTACAGGTCAACTTATTGTTTCTGAGCTCTTATTTTGTGTTCTGACTCTGTGCCAGGTTCTGACCGAGGCACTGGGGATATAGGGAGTAAAACTCACATTAAACATCAGACAAATAATCACACAAGAAGTCAGTTAACTACTTATACGATGAGTGCCTCCAAGGAAAAATTCTGGGCGATCTTGGGTGTGTGAAATGGGGTTTTATCTACCTTGGAGTATCAGGGAAGACATTTAAACAAAATCTATTGTGGAGAGATGAGTAGGAGCCATGGGAGAGACAACGTGGTGGGCGGAGCAGTCCATCAGAGGGAACCACATAGGGGAGAGCCCAGAGGCAGGAGAGGTCACTGTGGTTAGAGGGGTGGCGGGGCCAGGCCATGCAAGGACTTCCAGGGCTGAATCTGGGACTATGGACTTCATCCTGAAGGCAGTGGGGAGCTCACCATTTGATGTAGGATTGACAGCCTGTGATGATCATCTTGATAGAGACCACTCTGGCTACAGAAAGAGAATAGAGCAGCCCAGAATGACCAATGAAAAGGGCTGGTAAGAGGTGGTGGTGGCCTGGACTAGGATAGCGGCAGTGAGAGAGAAACAGATTTTAAAGATATTTTGGAGGCGTTTCATTGGATTTGAGAGATGCCGGAGGGTGACTCCCAGGTTCGTGGTTCTATGAACTAGATGGAAGGTAGTGTCACTTGATGAGATGGGGAGGACACAGGGGCACGACAGGGGAAGGGGTATTATGATCAACAAATGAGAACATTGACTGGGCATGGAGGGGCTCAGCCCTGGAGCTCAGATGAGTGACCAAGGCTGGAGGGTAAATGCAGCACCTAGATGAGAATCGAAACCCAGACTGGTTGAGGTCCACCTGGGGAGGCAGCATAGGGCAGGAAGAGAGGGGAGTTCAGGACAGCCTGAGGAACCCTGGCATGAGAACAGAGAAGGCGAAGGTGAAGCAGGAAGGTGGGCACGGTCATGGCCTGTTCCCAGATGACTGTTTGCTCATCTGTGAGATCATCCCACTGCAGCCCTGCAGAGGGAGGCAATGAGCAAAGGGCCATATGGGCTCTGGGTCCCGGTGGTGGGTCCCAGGGTGGCAAGGCACTTACCCTCTCAGTCTGGTCTACCACCGTAAAGGGTAGTGTAGGGCTCCTCCCCATGGAATTTAGGTGTCTTGTGCTTTCTGCCATTGCCACAGGCTGTACGCACACCCAGCTATCCCCACTGCTCAGTGACTTCACCCAGCAGACACTTGGGACTGGCCACCACCAACCAGGTCCTGTGACAGGCTCAGTGACCTTCACTATTTTAACACACACTCTTGACAAACAATACGGTGATGCTAGAAGATGTTATTTCTTACATGCTATTGTGGTTTAGGTTTCCCCCCACCTCTATGTATATTTCTTGATTAAGATTTAGCACTGTAGGTAACAATATATTATGTAGTTATACAGTCTGAAAGAGCTAGAAGGAAGATATTGAATGTTCCCAACACAAATGATAAATGTTCAAGATGCTGGATATGCCAATTACCCTGATCTGATCGTTATGCATTATTTGTATCAAAACATCACTGTGTATCCCATAAGTATGTACCGTTATTTTATGTTCATTTGAAAAATGAAAGAAAAAGTGTGAAAAACATTTACCTTTAGATTTACCTTTGATATCCTTCCTCTGTTCTGGAACATTCTCAACTATTATCTCCTCAGTTCTCCCCTGACCTATTCTCTCTCTCTTCTCCTTCCAGAATGCTGATTGAACAGGCATCCATTAGATACTCTTACTCTGCCTGCTGTGCACATAAACTCTCTTTCATATTTCCTTTTTGACCCTCTATGCCGAACTCTCGATAATTTCTTCTGAGTTATCTTCCAGTTGACACATCTCTCTTCTGCTAGGTCTAATCTCTTCCAGAGTGTAGAAATGGAAGAATGACTCCTCAAGCCAATGTACCCTTGGTACTAAAACTCCAACAAGGACAGTATGAGACAGGAAAATTACAGGCCAGTCACACTTGTGAACCTGATACAAAAGTCCTAAACAAAACATCAGCCAACAAAACCCAACAATCTATAAAAAGAATAATATGTCATGACCAAATAGGGTTTATTCCAGGAATGCAAGATCGATCTACCATTAGAAAGCCAAATTACATGTTTACTACATTAACTGAATTGAAGGAGAAAGGTCATTTGAACCTGTCAGTAGATGCAGGGGGAAAGAATTTGGTAAAATTGAAAAGCCGTGCACGATTTTAATAAAGCCACACACTTTGACCCACCAGGAGGTCCCTCAGCTTGCTAATGAATACCTCAAAGAAGCCGTGGCAAATGGCATCCTTTGTGGTGAAATATTGAGCTCTTTATGGTAAGGAAAAAGGCCAGGATGTCTGCTCTCACCATTTCTATTCAGCGTTGTCCTGGAGGTTCCTGGACAGTTTGGCAAGGTGGGAAAAAATAAACAAGGAAGTATTGGAAGGGAAGGTGCCCAGGTGACTCCTGGTTTCTTGCTTGTGCTCCTGCGAGGATGTTTGTGCCATTTACCAAGATGGGAAAGACTGAGAAGCCCCGGGCTGAGTGTTGGGAGCACAAGAGAAAATGGCCTGGCTTCCTTGGAAAGATCACCAAGAATGGAATCAGGACACGTCAGCTCCATTCCCAACTCTTCCCCCAACCTTGGATGGACTGCTTTCCTCCCTGGACCTGAGTCCCCGTCTGTGAAATGGGTGGGCCGGAAAGATGGATCCAAGGTGGGCTGTGATGGCCAGATCTGGTGGGAAACCAGAGAGAAGCATGGGAAGCTGGCCCCCATTCTCCAGGAGGGCAGGCTTTTGTGTGCAGAGCCTCTGGTGGGAGGAAACATCTGTTTGGGGATAGGGCAGGAGTCTGACAAGTCAGGGCACCGTCTTGACCCTCTGCCTTTGCAGAGGCGTCATCCCTTCTCTCCTTTGCCACAGGGTTGCTATCGTTATTGTCGTTGCTGTCATTGATGTTGTTGGGTGTGTTCTGTGGTTGTAAGGCACTGACCCCCCACCAACATGTCTTTTTGATGTTTTAGACCTTCAACAGCCAGAGCGAGAACAACGAAGACTATGAGATCCCCCCGATAACACCTCCCAACCTCCCTGAGCCATCCCTCCTGCACCTCGGGGACCACGAAGCCAGCTACCACTCGCTGTGCCACAGCCTCACCCCCAACGGTCTGCTCCCTGCCTACTCCTATCAGGCCATGGACCTCCCAGCCATCATGGTATCCAACATGCTAGCACAGGACAGCCACCTGCTGTCGGGCCAGCTGCCCACGGTGAGTCCCTGTCACCTGCTGCAGTTCCTGCTGATGACAGCAGGGAGGGGGTTGAGAGGGAAGCAGAAGAATGTTGATGTTTTGATAAGAACCCTCTACTCATGGGCAGGGTCTGGGTTCAGCAGTTTGCTTGCGTGGGAGTCTGTGGGACACGGTGGGTGGGCATGGAGAGAAATCTAATGTCAGCACGCTCCTTCCTTCTGGAGCTCTGGGTACAATATCTCGGTATTGATTTGCATTATTTATTAATAGGATAATCTCATTTTTATTTTTTAACAGTTTTATTGAGGTATAATTTATATTCCATACAATTCACCCATTTGAAGTATACTACTTAATGGCTTTTCGTATATTCACAGAGTTGTGTGACCATTAACACAGTTGATTTTAGAACATTTCATCACCCCATAAAGAACCACTAGCTAGGCACAGTGGTGTGTACCTATAATCTCAGCTACTTGGGAGGCTGAGGTGGGAGGATCACTTGAGCCCAGGAGTTCTGGGCTGTAGTGCACTATGCAAATCAGTTGGCTGCACTAGCTTTGGCATCAATATGGTGACCTCCTGGGAGTGGGGGACCACCAGGTTGCCTAAGGAGGGGTAAACTGGCCAAGATCGGAAACAGAGCAGGTCAAAACTCCCCTGCTAACCAGTAGTGGGATCGTGCCTGTAAAAAGGCACGGCACTCTGGGCAACATGGCAAGACCCTATCACAAAAAGAAAAGAAAAATGTTGTATTGCCAGGCACGGTGTCTCACGCCTGTAACCGCAGCAGTTTGGGATACTGAAGCAGGAGGATCGCTTGAGTCTAGGAGTTCAAGACCAGTTTTGGCAACATAGCAAGACCCTGTCTCTACAAAACAAAAAAATTAGCCAGGTGTGGTGGCATGTACCTGTAGTCCTAGCTACTTGGGAAGCTGAGGTGAGAGGATCACTCAAGCCCGGGAGGTCAGGGCCGTGGTGACAGAGTAAGACCCTTTCTCAAAAAAACAATAGGAAGAAACATCATATTTTTGGCCGTCACTCCCAACCCACCCCCTGAAATCTTCAGCCCTAGGCAACCACTAATTGACTTTGTGTGTTTATAAATTTGCCTATTCTGGACATTTCATAGAAATGGAATCATATAATTAAAAAAAATTGTATCTTGCTTAAGCTGCCAGAGAAGAGGGTGATAACTGAGTTAAAGTTCATGGGATAGGTAAAAATGTAGCAGGCAGACGAAGGCAAGAAAGAACCTTTCCCAGATTAGGGGAATAGCAGGTACAAAAGGAGGGCAGCAAGGGTGCTCGTGCCATGCTTGGGAATGGTATGTGGTTCATTCTTTTTATTGGGATAAAGAGGAAGGACCTGGAGTGAAGGAGAGAGAGAGGAGATGAAAGAGCTCAGCAGGGCCTGCATCATAAGGGTCCTGAATCCCATTCTAAGGAGATATATATCCTTAGAATGGCTGATTTGAGGCCAGGCATGGTGGCTCACCGCTCTAATCCCAGTACTTTGGGAGACCGAGGCGGGCGGATCACTTGAGGGCAGGAGTTCAAGACCATCCTGGTCAACATGGCAAAATTCTGTCTCTACTAAAAATACAAAAATTAGCCAGGCATGGTGGCACACACCTATAATACCAGCTACTCAGAAGGTTGAGGCACGAGAATTGCTTGAACCTGGAAGTAAAGGTTGCAGTGAGCCGAGATGGTGCCACTGCACTCCAGCCTGGGCCACGCAGCAAGACCCTGTCTCCAAAAAAAAAAGTAATAATGGCTGATTTGAGCCATCAAAATCTATAGAAGAATGGTAGAGCAGTAGAGCTTTTTTTTTTTTTAATACCATAGAAAAAATCTCCTTAAGGGAATTCTAGTGCTGCTTCTCAACAACTGGGACTTGTGTTTATTTTTGCTATTTTCCCCTTCACACTTAATATTACGTACTAGTCATGACTCTTACATTCATTTTTAAGTGACAGGGACCAAACTCAAACTTATGCAAAAGAGTCTGAAATATCCAGGGAGTGGATACAGGGTTTCAGGCATGGTTCAATCCAGGAACCCCACCAGTGTCACAAGGCCCATTTCCACACAACAGGCTTGATGGCTGCTGGCAGCCAGCATCTTCCCTGACATCTCTGGCAGAGAGGACCATGACAGCATCGCTGGACAGACCACTACGTCTAGGAGGAAGCAGTTCACTATTTTGTCATCTTGAGTCACACATGCACCTGTGGCACAGGAGGAGGGCTGCTTAGTTGATTTTCCTAGCAGAATCTCATGGTTTGGGGTGGCTTGTGTCTACCTCTACCATGACTCTTCAGAAGCCACAGTCAAATCTGTGGCCCAATTCTGGCAGACCCCTGGGACCTTAGGACGTGGCTTTGTAGTCAAACGATCTCAACTGTATTTTGTTTATTCTTCTTTTATTACCACCAAACTTCCTTGTTTAAAAAAGCTGGTGTCCTCTGTGTAATTTTGTAAGGCACGTCACATTTTTTTTGTTTGTTTTTGAAGCTAGGTGGGAAATAAAAGGAGACAAGGAAGGGAAGGAGGATGGGAGGAAACCAACTTGAGATCCACATTTTATAGTGTTTGGTTCTCACGAAAGAGTTCAATGAAAATGGATGCTCGTTTCTGCAGAAATTTTTTCCTGGTGGGTCCATCAATAATGCAAGTCCTCAGCTTCCTCTTCTCTCTCTCAAACCTAGCGATTCAGACTCACACCGCCATGTCTGGAATGGTTTTAACCCATTTATGCCTGAGGTTGCAATTTTTTGAATTTTTGCATTCAGACCTTGGCAATGAACTTGAGCAGTAGGATATAAATAACTCCCAGATGCTTAGCATTTCAATAATGGAACACTAGGCATAAATGGGTTTCCAGTTCGTTAGAATGTTTGTACCTTACTTGCTTACCGGGCTCATTTTCTAGCAGGAACCTTACTGCTCAGGACCATCCCTGTTTGGGATTTATGGTGATACAAGCGAGAGCAGGGTCAGGTGAGCACCTTGTCATCTGCTAGCAGGGATGTGGTGCAGGGGTGAGCATGGCTACGGTTTGGGGCCACTGTGTCGCTGCCTTTGGTACTGGGGTGAATGGAGGCAGTGTGGGGTGGTGGTTGATCCCTGACACCCGAGTTAGATCCTGGCTTCACCTTTGAAGCCTCGGTTCCCTTGTCTTGGAATCATAATCGTACCCACCTGAAGATTGTGATGAAGTGTATCAGAGATAATGTATGTAAAGTCTTAGCAAATGTCTGGCAGAGAGTAAACATTCAATGAGCATTTGCTATTGTTATTTGTAGTAAAAATGAATTCCCACTGTAACTAAATGGCAGTGTTTTCCCTTAAGTCTCATTTACCTAAAGGAGCAGACTGCAGACACCCTCAGGTACATTTGTAGGGCCACCTGATTATAATAGCTCTGATCATTACAAAGCATGTTATCTTTTTATCAAAGATGACCCCCTAATCTCCCCTCCTAGGAAATGCTTTTGTTGGGCTCTATCCAAATAGGCACTCGCAGTCGCTTGCCAGATTTTCTTTAAAACTAGCTCATGTTTAAGAGGCTTCACAAATTCAGATAGCCTTAATTCTTCCATTAGTCAGACTTTGCAAGGGTTCACTGAATTTTATATTCCCTCTTTATGTCATGAAAGATAAGCCAAACTCTATTACCCAGGGGAGGGCACCCGGACCAACTGGGAAAACCAGATAAGAAGATGTACATGTGTTGGGACTATCTGGTGAGGAGAGACAAGGGGCTCTTCAAGACGAAGTTTTTAAATTCATCTGAACCACAGGACAAAGGGGCGTGGCTTTATGTGCGTGGGCATACACGCTACGTGGGTGACGCTGGAATTGGTGTTAACACCTGCTGGGTGTCAAGCACCGTGCAGAGGGCTTTCAAATGTTTTCTTGCATAATCCCCCCAAGAAGCAAACCGAGGGATCATGATAATACTATCATGAAGGGATGGAGACCCCAACGTGGCAGGTCATTAGTGTGCCACGGCTGCTCTAAGACATTTCCACCAACTTGGGGGCTTAAAAAAACAGATTTATTCTGTCACACCTCTAGAAGTCCAGAGGCAGTCTCCTTGGGCTGAAATCATGGTGTCAGGAGGAACTCACTTTCCCCAGAGGCTGTCGGGGAGAACCCAGCCTTGCTTCTCCTCCGGCTCCTGGGGGTTGCTGGTCTTCCCTGGCTCGTGGCTGCATCATTCTGATCTCTGCCTCTGTCTTCACATTGCCTTCCCTCTGTCAGCAAAACTCCCTTTGCCCCTCTTCTAAGGACATTTGTGATGACATTTAGGGCATTTGGGGATAATCTAGGATAATCTCCCATCTCAAGATCCTTAATCACATCTGCAAAGACCCTCTTTTCTAAATACAGTACCATTTACATGTTCCAAGGATTAGGACCTGATATCTTTGGGGGGCATTTTTCAACCTACCACAGTGATCCTCAGCTGTATGACAGCCTTCATTGAGCACCCACTAGGTACAGGCATTGTTCTAGGCTTGGGACCTACAAGATGCCCTTGAGGGACGCCTGGTGCCGATGGAGAGAAGGTGAAGAGCCGATTTCTAAACTGTGGTACATTCTCTAATAACATCAGCGTGTGGTGCTCTGTGCCCGGAAGAGGCCCCTTAGATGTGGGGTTATCACTTCCTAGAGGAAGTGTCCCCTGATGCAGAGTAGATTCTATAAGTACTTGGTGAATGAATTACTGTCATACAGCTCCTAAACAGCAAGGTCAGAATGCAAACCCAGCTCTATCCCCTGTCATCTATCCACCTCTCAGTTTTACCAGATGACTGAGGGATGGTGCGGCCGGGCTGCAGAGTCACAGGTGGTACAGAGGATGTGCTGATGGCCAGGGTGCTTCAGGCATTGTCTGCACAGATTGAGATACACTGAGGATGTCATCCCTGGAGAGGCGGGCAAGGCCAAGGCATTTGACAGCCATCTCATAAATGCCAAAGCCCCTTTGGCTCTGATCCCAGAGGC